AATCGCTTTCAACACTTTTGTAGCAATTCCACGTATATTCTACGAGAAATGAAATTGAAAAGCCTTTTCTAAGTTACTAAATCTTTAGTGGTTTAGAATACCAGTCGGAGATGATCGGCAAAGCAAACAAGAGAATAATATTATCCTCATGCGTATACAGATAATACTTGTTATAAAGAATACTACAATAGAGTGTCGTTGTTGTCAAGACTCTAATGCTACTTTTTTCGTTTAGGTCACTATTTCCTATGGAGGTCACATTTTCGGTCAACTCAATCAGCAAAAATCCGGGCTCGTCAACTCCTATGGAGACGCAAGCCGATAGGATTGTGCACCTGGATGGAGTGTCTTTTGACAAAACCATGATTTTCATGAATCGCTACACTCTTAACACTTTGACTGCCACGCCGCAATCACATGTTACGCTCAGGACGCCACGGGAGTATTTTTATTATTCAAAGCATATAATGGTAAAATAATAATAAATTCATGATGTAAGACAACATTCTTCGCCAATCGACCGTTTATATTATTGGTGGTCACAGGTGACCACTGTGGCGCCCTGGTAACAACTGACAAAATGTTTGCAACATAATATTCATAATGATAAACAATTGTTACCTATATATACTATATAATATGCCTAAAATTACAAAATTACATATACTTGAGAGAATGTAAGTTTATGGAAGAGGAATGGGAGGAAAAAGTTTGCAACAAATGGTAACGGAGTGTGGAATATCCGAAGAAGGACTACCTATCAGGACAAGCTATCAGAAGATACCAGCTAAAATCTTGAAAATTCGATACAAATTCAATAAAATTGTAGGAAAAAGAAGACATCCGTTCGTCAAGGTCGATGAGTTATCAGAGAAGTTAAGAAAAATCCCTTCATTGGTATAAGACAAATAAAGCTTTCATTTTATATGGCCTGTTTTTAGAACAGCTGTTAGAACATTCAATTTAAACGAATGTTAATTATACAGACCGAGATATATCTCGTCTGATAATTTATTTAAAATGTTTCATTATCTCTAGTTAAAGACTTCATATTTTGCGATATTACTATATAATAATTTCGTTAAATGATACATTTTTACCTAAGACCTGCACCAACTTTATTCTTCGTTGAATGGACTCTCGACATTTATAAATATATGTTCCACAGATTCAGAAATTTCCTTTCCATAAAACATTGATCATCGAAACAACTAACAAAGTGTAGAGCTTCTTTATACATATAATGTTACGACAACAATGTTAACGTAATCATCATGATCAAAGACATCTTAGTACATGGCATTTAACGATACAAGAAATGAATGGATACCTTAGTGCCATTGAAACAAATATTTGACGACGTTTGTAGGAAGTATGTTTATGCTTTTCGGAGATGAAAGGACATCGAAGCCTCCTCCTGGAACTTCGGGATAATCCCCTAACATTATAATCTAGAGTCTACTATAGCTGTAATTAAACAATCGTAGTTATTCAATCCAATTGTAATTGTTTGAGACTAGTGACAATGAGTTTGGGCTCGAGGCGACAGTCTATCGCCCAACGTAGCCGCGGTTAAGGGATGAACGCTTCGTCTAACAAAGGCATGCAATAATTTTATAGCTCTCCTACAAACAGACAAACAGTCCTTGTCCCAACTACGAGACAATAGAGGAGACCTATTTTTCAACGAACGACGTCTCCCACTAGCAACTTTCCCTCGAGGGCGGCTAGCATCTGTTTCTAACCATCGATAGGGAGATTGACCAATTAGCAGCAACGCCAATTTTCCTTACTTTCGCAACGAAGTTTCGCAATCCTCGACGAATCCGATGGTCTCGTGTCCTTAGACACACCCCATCATAGTTTTCCTCTGTGGCATCATCGGGACGGAAGTACTATATAGAGATTGGGATTCAAAATCTTTTAAGGGACCATGGGTCACTAGGTACAGTCAATCTGAGAGTAACTGGCCAACTGTCAACAATCCATAAATTCTTTACCTGCAAACTTTGTTAATTATACCATATCACTCATTTATATTTTAAATACATTTGGTTCTGTAATTCTGTTTAATAAATATCACCTAATATTATTTCAACATAATCATTGTGTCTTCCATAGATTATATATCGTAATTTTAAGATTAAATTCTAACAACGTCATTAATTAAAAAAATCTTTTAACGTGCATCATAAATATACATTTGTTCTCAATTCATACATATACATAAATGTACCATGTAGGTAGATGAAGTTGAGCAAAGTGCAACATTTATTATGTCACAGCTAATAAGCTGTTCCGTATACTTCCTTACAATATCCATTGTAGAGATTTGAAAACCAATGCCGGCACATACGCTGGCACAGGCTTTCGGCGGAGTTCACTATAGTAGGGAAGATTGTTCTTCACGAATATCTCGGCCATTAAGCGAGTCTACTCCTTATATGTATAGAAAAAAGTTATTCTAAATGTTGAGCTTTCCAACATATCTAAAAGTCATCAAAAGCGGTGTCTAGTCAGCTTTTTACAATTTAACAAAAAGATTAAAAAATGCTTTTATCCGGTAAATAACTTTCGTACTCTGCTTTATCATTTACAGACTGTATAGTATTAGGTCATCCTATAAGTTCGTGCCGACTTTTGTGTATACATTTCATGTGTCGATTTATAAACATACGGCGATAAAGGACGAATGCACTTGAGCTTAGCTGATCGAGAACAGGCTAGAGCAGATTTTCGTGGGTATAAGATCGTAATATAGTGAACACAGTGACTTCTAACAGTAAAAAATCATGAGTGAAATGCGTATCCATTTTCTCATGTTATATGAATTTCGGAAAGGAAGTTCTGTAACAATTGTCACGAAAAACATACAAACATACAACAAACCTACAGACAAACATACAAACATTTGTGCTGTTTACGAAGAAAATGCGCTTTCATTTCGCACCTTTTCATCTCGCACCAGTAGGAAGTGGTTCCAACGTTTTAGAGCTGGGAATTTTTGTTTAGAAGACGAGGAACGCTCCGGGCGTCCTCCTCAGACAGACGAAGATAAAATTCGGGATCTTGTTGAAAAATCACGAAGTTTGACAGTTCAAGAGATGTCAAATGTTCTGAAAATACCTAAGACAACGATTCATAGGTGTTTAAAAAAATGGGGATGGTGTCAAAGTTGGACGTTTAGGTGCCCCACGAACTTACGGAACGGAACCGTCTTGAACGAACGACAGCGTGCATGTCATTACTTGCGCGTAATAAACATGAGCCATTCCTTAAACGCCTGGTAACTGGTGATGGAAAGTGGATACTTTACGAAAACCCTGAACGGAAACGTAGCTGATCCCAACGAAATCAGCGACCTCAACGCTGTGCAAAACCAGGGTTACATCCACGTAACCCTGTTCTTTTGTGTGTATGGTGGGATTATAAAGGAATACTATATTTTGAACTTTTATCTAGTGGCGATACCATTAATTCAGACAAATATTGCACTCAGTTAGAAAAAATAAGGGAAGCACTGAAAAACGACCAGTTTTAGTGAATAGGAACTACGTTATCTTCCATCACGACAACGCTAGACCGCATGTCGCGAAAAGCGTTACAAAAAATTGTCTGTATTTAATTGGGAAATTTTACCACATCCCCATATTCCCCAGACATTGCCCCATTTGATTACCACCTGTTCAGAGCATTACAACACTTTTTAGTGGGTAAAAAATTTGAAAATATTGACATTCTCAAAAATAGCTTAGAAAATTATTTTAAAGAAAAACAAGAGAACTTTTATCGAGACGGAATAATGGCCCTACCAGAAAAATGGGAAGAAGTTGTACAACGAGAGGGGGATTTTTTCATGAAACTGAAAGGTATATAAACAATCTTAACATATATAACCGCTCGAAAAACGGCACGAACTTATGGGATGACCTAATAATTATGTTACAAAATTATAAATGCTTATGCCAACTTATACTTGCAAATATGGCATAAATTATTCTCCTTTGTAGATCATTCTACGTTCTTCTTCCTGCATTAACGTCAGACAATGTATATTACTTATGACTTAGAAGTTTAATATGGTGTATATTTTGTAGAATTATGAGAGCTGTCGTAAGCAAATTTTTCCACACTAGAATTAGATTCTAATTTTATTAAATGATATATATGAGGTGTAGATCGTGACAGTGATAGGAAAAAAACAATTAAGTATGTTTAACAATATATATATTTATTATGATATACTCAATATGTGCACTTTGGATACAACTCGCGGGTACTAAACGATTCGTGATTTGCAATTACAAGTTTGGCCAAGATGCTGGCAAGAGGGTCGATTTAAGGCGTAATGGCTCGCCCCGAATGGCCTTCGGCGGGTGAACAGCGTCCCACCTGCTCCGGAACCATCCTGGAGAGACGGAAGGGCTTAGAATGTACCCCGTTCGACCTGAGACAAGCGACAGCCCCTGCAGGCTTAGCTAATCGAGGTAGCAAGGCACTGGGTGCCTTGCGCGATGGTAATCCCACCCGAAAGCACCCGTTAACGAGGATTGACAATATTTGTAGCTCGCCACCTTCCAGCTTTCATCCTGTTGAGTTGTTTCTTTATTGATTTCCATATCAACTTCGATTGTAACTGAGCAGTCCTATTCTTGGTTTATTGGTTGACTTGTTTTTGATGTGTTTGTTGTTTTATTTATGTAGTATTGCTCGTCTTTGTCGATAATTTATCGGTGAGATTTGTTTTTTCATGTTAGGTTTGCTTATAGTCTTCTTAGTAGAAGACACGGGTTTCCACCATTTAGCTATGGGCGTAGCCATTCGTAACTTTCTCTTCCCCACTTGTCGCACTTTTCTGAAGCACTGTCTTTACTCTGCTCGGGCAGAACTCGACCTGACGTTGAGTGTATCAATGTTATATAAGTTTGAAAGCTGTGTAATTCCAACTTACATTCCTTACAAAAAGAGTCTGGAAATTTGCAATGTAAATAATTATCAATCGTTCAATTATTGCAGTTCGCGAGATACAAATATTCTTGCGATTTACTGTATTTGGATATTCTTCGTGCAATCATCAACGTGGACGGACGTCAAAGTGAAACCACGCGAGTTCGGCATTTCCATATATACAGAACATACTGTCAACGCGAGTATCTTGAACTAGTTCGATTATTTGCTTACGCTGCTGGAATAAGAAGCACGGAAGAGTCTTTTTCGCGCGGTAAGTGCCACTTGTTAAACATTGCCACTTGAAACCGATACGAACAGACATGAAACGGGCTGTGCCAGGAGAAGTATTCTTACAGGCATGAAACGGGCTGTCTCAGGAGAAGTATTCTTGCATTATTATAAAGAAATACATATAGTAATTTAATAAAATATCTCACACACCATAGTCCTGGTCATTAATGTGAGTGATTGTATATTGTTGGGTTTTAAATGGTTACGATTCTGAAATGTCAGAAAGAACATTTAAGTGCCGGCCGGTTCAGTTAGCAGGACCGGTCTGCAGTTCACGTGTGGTAAAAATTCATTTGGTAGAAGTCGGAAGTTGTTGATTTTTTCAATACTGTACCTTCACACTTTTTAACGTGAAATGTTCCGAAGAATCCATATACTTGTGTAAAAGAAATACTGTGCATAGTTTCATTTAAAAAGCCAAGGTATTATTTTAAACATTTCTCAATACTCAATACTTTTGTGGATAGTATGATTTCTTGCTGTTCAGAGCAGACGTGTAATTCTTTGCGGATGTCATCGTTTCTGACGTAGCAGGGTGAATCTATGATCTCAGGTGGTATTTTAGTTCGTTCACCTTCCATCTTTTGCACGTGCGATTTGGCTGCCATTTCCCAGAGTTATATTTTCCGAAAACATACGGTTACAAATTTTTGATCAACAACTTCCACGATTCGTAATTAGAATCTTGAAATCTATGAAAGCTCTTCGATTTCTTGATATCCAAATACAGTCATCTTTCCTTTCCATTAATTTCCTTTATTCTTTCCACGAAACGACTTGGAAGTTATATTACAATATTCGTTTAAAGCATTCCAAACTATTTGAACGATAATAGAGATGAAATATTTTTTATACAAGAATTTTTGTACTCTTTTCCTCCTTTTAAATAGCGTTTTGTATGCATTAGCATTTGAAAAATTTTTTAAATGAAGTATTTTTATGTTAATAGGAACATTGTTATAGTATCGATATTTAATAAAAGCAGAAGTCAAATGTTAATGATTACACATATAATGGCGTAGTTAGCAAATGAACTACATTGTGACAAAATTACACACTTGCTCAGTTCGCGAAGTAGACCATCACCGTTGAATCATTTTTCCTTTAGTACGGATTATCCTGAGATTTTTTGTTTTTTCTTAACATAACACATATATAGAAATTTAAGATATAAAATTGTACGATATTCTTTATTTATTAATTTTCCGATTTATTTTTTCATATTCATTTGCAGATATTTGGGTTGAAAGAGGGGAAGCCCTGTGATTTTGGTACAATGAATACAAAGCTTAATGAAAACGAGATAAATGAAAAGTTACGTAATGTGAATTCCATCGAGGGATTCTATTCCGGAACTGGAATTCTTATGACAGGAGCGACAGGATTCGTGGGCAAAGGCCTCCTCGAAAAATTGATACGCACGTGTTCACGCATCGCTGCTATTTTTATATTGATCCGGCCGAAACGTAACCAAACGATAGAACAACGATTTAAGAAGCTAATAGATGATCCGGTTCGTAAGTAATATTCTACTCGCTTTTTGGAATTTCATTATATAAGTCTCAAATTAATGAACAATTGCCAAGAAACAAATAAATTACCTTCGTAAGTTCATATGAGCCGATTAATGTAAATATGATGCAATTCAATTCTTACCTATTTGGTTCAACACCGCGACTTGGAACAGTAACTTCTGTTTTGAGCGCGAATGGTGTCAGGATATACTCGTTAATTTTTCAGTGGATAACAGAGAAGCTAAGAATGGCCCACTCGATTCCCTACAAAATTTTTATTTTATCATTCATTAACTGATAATCAACTTCTTGACTGCGAACATTTTTGCACTAAATGGCTCATTTTCTGCAAGAAGATGACATAAATAAATAGTGAACTTTTAGATGAATATCGAACACATCAACAAACGCGGTTGACATCACCACTTTTGCGTACTTTCCCATTTATGAAATCGATCAGTGCAGCTTTTCAACTCATTCATTTATCTATTTTTATTTGTTATTTCATTTCTGATTCCTTACGGATGAAGACGTTTACAAGGCAGCAGTTTAAGATTTCGAACGTTATCTATTATCTAATTTTGTATC